TAGAAGGTAGAAAATGACTGCTGGATGGAATATCTGATAGGACCAGTGCCGTTCTCGCATTTCCCATTTCTTGCCATACACAGGTATAGGATGACATTCTTTTCTAATGTCTCACATACTCTAGGCATGTTGTCAAGAAAGGTGAGTCCTTGAAAAAAGACACCATACTAGGAGAGGTTGAGGGTCAAAGAAAGAGAAGAAGACCTTCAACAAGATGGTCTAACACGGTAATCTTAGCAATGGGCTTGAGTATATCAGAAATTGTGGGGATGGTGCAGGACAGGGCCAGGTTCAGACCTGTTTTCATAGGGTCTCGGTATGTGGTAGTCAACTCTTACAGCACCTAATAACCTTTCTTTCCCAGTACCATTAGCGTCCTTAGAGGACATGTCAGAATCAATGTGATATACTGTGTAATGTAACCATCTCAACATCCCAGTCACAAACACCTCAAGTCACACTATCTTTCCAATATGGGAAAGGTCACAGTCCCAGGGCCTGTTTTCAGCTTCCCCAGCGTTATAATCAAAACATGCCCAACTGAGCAGAGGAAGGCTCTCTACAGTAAGGACTACTCATCAGTGTTACTGAGGCTACAGTTTCATTGCTCCCACCCTATCCTTTAGCATACTAAATGTCCAGTTGATATAGATCCAAGAGAATTATTTACCCACTTCAAGAGATTCTTAGGCCATAATGAAAAGCCCAAGAGCAATGCTAAGAAGCAACACTTCTCTCTCTTAAAGGAATTTGCTTTTCCCCCTCAGGAACTTCCATGAGCATTTGACACTGCCCTAAAAGCCTCCCAGTGCCTCACAGAATCAACTGCTCAATATTCCACCAAGAACTTCAGCTTCTAACACGTTTATACAACTAGCAGAAGTACATTTTTAATGCTTTGAATGTCCCCTCTGTTTTACCTCCTATCAGGTTGCTAACAGCAAGAGAATATAGCAGTCAATGGGGATCCCTTTTCATTCACCTGTTAGATACCCAGTAAATGCCATGCCACTCCATATACAGTGAACAGGTGAACAGTTTCTGTTCTGTATTTTACTTTGTCATGTGAGTTGTCATTGTTAGTTACCAGAAAGTCAGTTCCAATTCATAGCAACTTCCTGGACAGCAGAGAACAAAATACTGCATAGTCTTTTTTTTTTAAATACACTGCAGTCTTATGCCATCTTTATGATTACTCATTGGTGTACAAGCTGTGCATTTTAGTGTCTTCCAAACAACAGCACTTATCTTCATGCATTATAGCAGACAATAATCTGTTGCCACCCATTGGGTTTTATTTGGGTTACTTTAATAAGGAGATTTCTAGGGCTTTCTTCTTAGTCTGAACCCTGTCCACTATGTCAGATCCTATTAGTCCTTGAAACAACAGGGTCATAGCTTTGAGCATACCAGAAATGCATGAGCTACCACAAGATGTCAAGCTGGTAAACATAATGGTTCACTGCAGTAACTCAAATCAATTACTAAAATAAAATTGAGATATAAGTGTGAAGTTGGAAACGTAATTGAACAATGTAAGAGTTCATTCTATAATAGGGTTCATTGTGCTTTAACTAACAGCTCCTACCTGGGCAAGATGGCCTTGTCCCATATGTGTGCTTCTCTATTCTATTTCTGTAGCAGATGATGAGGGTACTTTGGATGTAAGTCTTGGTTTGTGTAATATCACCACTAAATTTGGGAAAGACACATTCACATGCTTTACAGGGAAATTTCAACAGATTTCCTTTTATTTAAACTTTTTTAAAGTCTCTGACACCTTTAATGATTCTCCTTTCCATTTGATATTTCTAAAACTATCTCTGGACTGCACACAGGTTACTATCTATTGATTATGCATGTCCAGCATCTAGGGACACGATGTGATGTCTCCATTAGAGAAGCCCAGAAATCCACAGCAGTCGTGAAGGCTGAGTGTGAAGCTCATATCCCTCTGATAAAGACACAACAGGGAACAACAGAGGAAGACAAAAAGATGATTTCATATTTGTATATCCTTAAATTACCAATATCCAAGTGAATTGGGAGAGATGTTGGTTTTCCACTGTGCCGTGAAGTAAACAAATGAAATCTGTATTGCATCGCATTATGGTGAGAATAGCTGCCTGCTGCTTCTTGGTATTCTAAGGCACTGGGTTTTATTGATTAAATTTGCTTTACAAGTACAGTGTTTTCTTCTGATTTTTCTTTGTAGAATCAAGAGAATTGTCTGTAGAGCCCACCTGAATGACATTCAGACTTTATGTGTAATTTGCATTTTATCCTTAAAATAGTACATTATTAATATGACTAGCAATCATGATATAAAAGTTGCTTTTTATGGCTATGAGTTTGACATGTATTTTCCTGTTTAATCGGCACAGTAGTCATGACTATTGTCACCTTCACTCTACAGCTAAGGAACTTGAAGGACAGGGAGGTTAAGAAGTTTCCCTGCAGTCACAGTCTGTTGAGTGGAGGGGCAGAGCCCAGAACTGGCTCCAGAATCTGCCTGGCCCATCTTATCTCTCCTCCCATATGTACACCTCATTGATGCCCCAAGGAAAACAGCCAAGTGCGATTCATCCTTAGTGCCACAATGTCGCTGGCTCAGAAAAGGGACAGGTGGATAACCAACCAAATAAAACTTAAACCTGTGTCTACAAAGAAATGTTCAAAACAGAAATTCTTTTAATTTAGGTTTAACATTAGCAAAAATAGTGCTGAATGACTCCACTTCCAACAGTTTAGTGGTTTCAATGCTTGCCAGTCTAAGCTACTTGTGGGGGGTGGGTGTAGTGCTGGGACCATTAGCAAATTTTCCTATTGTCCACTTTAGAGGGCAGCAGAGCTCCACCACTGGTGATGTTTGGTGTGGCCTGAAGACCCCTAACCTCCACCATTATGGATGACTTCAACAGAATAGACAATAAATCCCCATGGTCCAGTGCAAACAAAATACTCACTGCCATGGAGTCAGTATTGATTCCTAACTCACCCTTCCACAGCTTGCAGAGCCTATGAATCGCACAGGAGGTGAATTATCTTCCTCTCCTGGAGCCACTGGTAGATTGAAGCCTTCAGAGAGTACAAGTCTGAGTTAGGAGTGCAGCTCCATACAGATCACCCCACTAGAGTGTCCATGATCCAGGCTGCTCAGGCGATATTCCAAAGCCACTACAGCTTGTTGCCTCTTCCTTGGGGTAAAATCGTAAAAGTGGTGCTACTTTTAAATGCTCAGATTCCCCTGACAATCTAATTCAACCTCCTAAGCATGACCTTCTGGGGCTCTAGAACAAGTTTAGGCTTGGCAAGGGCCCTGGGCTGGCATCAAAACTCTTCATTCTTGTGACATGGGGTGGTGGGGTGGGTAATGCCAGGTCCCATCATCAAAATCATCATCAAATACATCCTAATAAAATACTTTTTTTCAGCTGGATAGCTGAATACAGCTAACAAAGACCTTAACACAAGGTCTTCCAGAGAATAATTGCAATAGAACCAACATCTTAATCTAGTCCACATCAAACTTGACCTCAAATTGTGGGATCACAGTATTCTATTACAAAAATTTGAATCCCTGTTTTGTAATGTGCCAAATTCAATGTTTCACTAAGGATTCCAAGTCAACTCTGGTGGTGTATCCTCTCACCTGACCTTCCTAAGTATTGGCATGGTGCCGAACATATCAACCTAGAAATGACAAAATAATCTGAACTTTTGATGATAGGGAAATGATAATAATAAGTTGATCTAAATTGCATCCTAGAGACTTGTGAGAACTGTCCCAAAGGCCAGAATCATCTTCTGGTGAAACCCTGTGGGGCTTAAAAAGAATCTGAAAGAATTCCCCAATTGTCCATCAGTTTTGCAAAACCTTGACTTCCATCTCAGAAAGAAAAAGAAAATGTCACATTTAAGTGATGATAACTAATGCTCTGTCAAAAAAAGTATTAAGTCGGGCTGTCAAATATACTTGAGATCATATGGATTTAACATTTTGCCCAAAATTTTATCCTCCAAATGGATAATGGGTCTCAGACTCTGAATAGAATTTTTTTAGCACCTCTCGCCTTCCCTTTCCAGACCCATCAGAACCTGGTGATTCTGTTTAACAGGTTGTCATGATAATCATGCACTACCTTCCATTTAGAAAGTTCATGGACATTTCTAATTCTGTTTCTTGAAAAAGCTCTTTTGCGTAAGTTTCCTATTCTGAAATGGCTCTGGGGCAGATTTTTGGATTAGGATAAAATTTTCTTCTGACTGAGAACTGTAATAGCTTATAAAAAGTTTATAGTAGTTTATGCTCCAGTCTCTCCTGTCCTGGTGTGTAGACATCTCATGTTTTGGTAGTCAAGTGTCCTCATTTACACAGAATCCTTGTGCTGGTGTGATTATCGGGGACACAGAAATTTCCTGGGATACAGTATTTTCAAGGGTAAATCCAAGGCAACCAAAACTGTTGTTTACCCTAAGTGTACAAAATCCAGACCATCCCAGCAACTTCTTACCCTCTTTAGTCCTGATCACTTATTCCTATAATATCCTCAGGCCCTATCTGTTCTGGACTAGAGAGAATGAATTCATAGTCCTTTATTTAAAGGGTAGACAATACTATGCTTTGCCTTACAGGTATTGTATTTATAGTCTTTACAGCAAGTTTCTAGAGTTCTAATCCCAAAAGAATTGTAATGATATTTATTCCCTATAATGGTTTGGCAAGTTAATTAGCTCAACTATCCAACAAAGGGGTCACCCGCACATGGGTTCCACCACACTGCTGGGTGTGGAAGTGTGTCACATAAGGAGGTATACCATGAGGATCACTGAGCAGCCCTTCACTCTCTCCTGCCAATTGCACAAGATAACTGAGTCAACTGAGTCAAGAGAAGCAGTGGCTTCATGAAACATTCATAAACATCTACATCCTGGAGAAAACTGCAGAGCCAAGGAAGAAGCAAACTTAGATCATAAAGAAGTAGGTTACAAGTTCTGACCTTAATTAGTGGTTTGTCATTCTTCATCCTGGGGTACACATTTGAAGTGGAGGTCTGAGACAGGACCCCAAGGTAAGGAAGGTATTGCTGAAGTGTCTTGGCCGATGTAACATCATTTTCCAATTGGTACCTTCTTTCATTATCAATGCTTTGTTTTGAGGTCCTGAAAAGCAAAAGAAAAATGTGACTCAATCCAATTTGTACTTGGCATCCATGCATACTGTTCTGGGATAGCGAGAGGAGATGCCACAAGACATCCACTCTGAGCATTCAGGATGAGAACACATCCACGTTTACTATTTATTGAGCACCTTCCCTGTGAGGCAGGTCCCATCCGAGCTTTGCTACCCATTAACTGTGAAATTCTAATTTCTCACTTAATCTCCCTGAGCTTCAGTATTCTAACATATAAGGTGGGCTATTAATGCCCTGCTCAGAGCTGCTCTAAGGAATTAATGAGGAACTCCTAGAAAGGAGCCTAGCATTTAGTGTGTCCTCAATAACTGGCAGTTCTGACGGCCTTGGACAGTAGATAAAACCAATGTCCAGGGGATAATTCGAGAATAAACAGCTGAACAGTGTTTAACTACAAGTTTAACAAGAATTCTGAGAAAGGGAGAAAAGTATGAATCTGGGAGAAATTTACTTGAAGGCAAAGCCACTGGAAGAAGAGAGTAGGGAGGGGTATTACTGTGTGGAGAGAGACTGAAGAGCTGAGCCAGGAAGAGTGGAGACATAGTACTGAAAAGGAGTGAAGTGTGTCCATGGGTTTATGAAGATCCCTCCTCAAGACTGGAGAGAGAAGTGACTCACTTTATAAACAAGGCAGAGAAGTTACACAAAAGAGGGACCTGACAAAAGGGAAAGGGGGGAGGCTGTGGAGGAAGGGCAAAGAAATCAATAGACAGCAAGAGTAATGGGGAAATGCAGGGTGTGATGGAAAAGGCAAAATGTAAAGCAGACTTGATGAGATGGGGTGATAAACATCATAGAACAATAATAATTAATTCTATATAACACAATGTACATAAATGATTGCATAAAACAAAATGTTTATGAATGAAACAATGTATATGAATGATTATATAAAAGTGAATGATTCTATAAAATGTTACCTAAATGACTGAAATATAATGAACATAAACAATTATGTGCAAACCAATAAAAAAGTATTTACAATAAGGAAAAAAGGGGAACATGAAAGATGCATTCCTTCTTTCCCTCAGTTAAAGGAGAGGTGGTGTGATATTGTAGAAGGACCCTAGATAGAGAATTAAAAACCTGAACTTGGTTTCACTCTGTGCTATGATACTTCTCAATTCTCAGGTACTCCACACATGAGATTGCTGAGATACTCAAAAGAAATACAGTAATAGACTCACTTATGTATAGCGGGGACCCTGTAGGCATAATACCAGTTCATCAAAGATGTTCTCATCTTCATCCCTGAAACCTAGAACCTTTGCCCCTGGTGAATGTTAAGTTTCCATGGCACAGGGGAATTCAGGTAACAGACAGAATAAAGGGTATTAATTGGCAGGCCTCTAAATATGGAAAGTATCCTGAATAATCCTGGGGTCCAATATCACTAGGTGGGTCCTGAAAGCAGAAAATCAGATTAGAGAGCATGTGAGAGGGTCTTAACGTGCTGTTGCTATCTTTAGAGGAAAGAGGCCATGGGAAAGAGACACCGACAGCCTCTAGAAGTTAAGAGGAACCGGATCTCCCCCCTTAGAGCTTCCAGAAAGAATGGAGCTCAGTGACACCTCTGCCAAACATCTAAACCACAAAAAGTTAAGGCTGTAAATGTGTGTTGTGTTAAACTACACAGTTTATAATGATTTATACAGCAGCAACAAGAATACAAAATTGATGCTTATTCATTGTCTTAGCATTACATCCATTTGCTACTGCAGCTCTGATGATCTAGTCTAGAGGGAGTTACGGTGCCAACCCAGAGACCGCTCCTCTCTGAAAGTTCAAATCCCAACAGAGGCTCTGCTGGAGAAAGATGAGCAATCTCTCTTTTGTAATTTACAGCTTTGAAAATCCAGTGGAAGATCAGCTGCCATTTAAGCACTGGCAACAAGTTATAATACTGTGGCTATTATTTTTCTTTTTAAAAATGTTTGTAAATCAAGGAACTCTGGTAGCCCAATGGTAAGGAATCTGGGTATCCAATTTTTAAGCACATGGTTCTTATCCACTAGCTGTTCCGCAGGAGAAGATGAGTCATCTCTTCCTTTGCAAGCTACTGCCTCTGAATACTGACTGAGTCAGATCCAACTCAGTGGTACCAAACAAACAACATCAACTTATGGATCACTGTCTATGTGCATAGAATAGAGGAGACACAGGAGTCTGAAGACTGAATGGCAAAATGCAATGTTTTTTCTTGATTTGTTTTCCAGATAAAGGTGAGGCAATGCATATGATAAACATTCTAAAGTCCCTATAAGAAAGGAAGACTATAATCAAATTGAGGATGACATCCAGGTAAGAGTTGGTCAGAATTATAATAAGACTGAAAAGGAAAAAGATGAAACTGGAAGACAGTTTAAAGGGTAAAACAAATATTGCTAGCTTCCATTGAGCTGGTCCTCAACTCAAAGCAAATGGATGAACAATAGAATGTAATACTGTCTGGTCTTGGGCCATCCCAAGGTTCAACTGTACTTAGATCATTATGATCCCACTGGGTTTTCATTGGCTGGTTATCAGAAATAGATATCCAAGTCTTTCTTCCTAGTCTGTCTTAGTCTTGAAGATCTGCTTCTAAAACTTGTTCAGCTTCAGGGCAATATACAAGTCTCCTTTGTCAGACAGGGCTGCCCATGTTTGCATTCAAGAACTGAACCCAGGTCTTCTGCAGAAAAGGCAAGAATTCTACCGAATTGCAACCACTCCTACTTATATGTAAAATCATCAGAAAACTGACTGATATCTCAGCTTACACAGGTCATCAAGTGTAGCTATAACAGACAGTGCTGGAAAAATGACTAGATAGTTACTGAAACCAGCAATAACTCACAGAGAAAGTCAGGACAGCTACCTATAACAAGCACCCAACTAAACAGATGTCAGAACTCATCAACCAATCCATACTAATCGCAAGAGGTGGAGTGTGGGATGGCGAGGAGGGGGAGGAAGGCATTCAAGGTCCAGCTTTCTGTCTTGATTTGATCTCTGTTCTCTCGTTAGTTGTGGCTTGCTGAGAGCTAGCTAAGAGCGACAGGGGAGAACATTCCCAAAGCCCAGTAAATGGAAAGAATGTTTTGCCTTGCCTGTCCATCCCATAGACAGAACCTCTGAACAGAGACCCCACTGCAGACAATTCAGGGGACCTAGAGCTGCCCAACCCAGATGTCTGCCTCTGCTTGCACACAAATCACTTGTCACAAAGGGCCCCTGAAGACCTATCTCCAAAAGTGGCCAGAAATGCAGACAGAAAAACTGATATGTCAACAAAGATTAAAAGGAGATATACATACAATGAAATACAATGATTTATTAAACCTTGAGTGTTAATGACTGGGAAGTGCTAATCAAAATGCTTACAGATATTTTTGGTGTTTGTTAATTAATTATACACCCTGGTTATATCTACACTAAAGATGAAATGTGTAAGGTTCAGTGTGTCTGACAGGTGTCTAGTACCACTTCCTATTCAGATCTGCCTGCAGGCATCCTGTATGCATGCATTTTTGTAGTAATGCATATCTTCTCCCTGGGTTCTGCAGTCTTCAGGAGCGTTTCTGGGTTTCATCATTTAAATCTACTTTCTTCTTCAGAACTTGGTGTGTCCTCCCTCTCTTAGCAAAGAACCCCTCTGAAACATTAAACAAAAACAATGAAAAGAAATGCCACTGCATCAACTCCAACTCATGGTGATACCATTTGTGTCAGAGCAAAATCATACTTCATGGGTTCTCAATGCCTGACTTATTGGAAGTAGATCTTGAAGCCTTTCTTCTGATCCACCTCTGGATAAATGCAAACCTTCAACTTTTCAGGTAGCAATTATATGCTTTAACAGTTTTCTTTACCCAAAGTTTCAGGGAGGACATCAGTATTCACTGAAGGTCCTGTAGTCAAAGCCAAGAACTGTTCCACCTGTTTCTTCTCTGTCCCAAGAAGAAGCTCATATCTTAACTGAGGGCCCTTCTTGCCTACATGAGAGTTTAGGCCCTTTTCATGAAAGGTAAAGAAATACCCTGCCTCAGAGTCCTGCACCCCACAGATTTATCCATGCCCTTTATTTGATGAAACTCAAAACTCATTGCCATCAAGTTGGAAATTATTCATACCTGGCTCTCCAGCATATTTTCAGAGGCTATAAATTACATGAGAGGAGAATGGCCATCAAGAAAATGCAGGTGTTGTTTCTTTCTAGTATTCTCTGCTTCCAGACGAGATCTACTTGACATCAGTGATATCCCTTGTTTCATGTCATTTTGTGAATCCAGATTAAGAATCTGGCAATTCTTCGTTGAAGCACTGTACCAATCATTTGTAATTATCTTCAGTATCATTTTTCTTTACAAGTAATAGTAATGACATTGTTGATTAACTTCTGTATTCTGTTGGATCATCTTTCTTTGTAAGGTGAAGAATGTGTTACTTGGACAAGTAGCTGTCTTGCAAATTTCTTCATATATATGAGTATTTATAGAATGTTGTTATTATGTGCTGTCAAGTTGCCTGCGACTCATAGTGACCCTATGTACAAGAGGTCTAAACCCTTTCTTATCCCATACCAATCTTATTGTCTCCGACACGCCTATCCTCATTACCCTAGTGACTGAATCAATCCTTCTCATCAAGGGTCTTCCTCTCCTACACTGACCCTCCACCCTCCCAAGCATGACATCCCTCTCCAAGGACTGATGTTACCTTGCAGCATGTCCAAAGTATTCAGACAGAGCTTCAGAATCCTTGCCTCCAAAGAGCAGCCTGGCTTCATCCTCTCCAGGATGAACTTGTTTGTTCTAGCAGTCCATAGTATATTCAATACTCTTCTCCAACTCCACAGCTCAAAGGCATCAGCTCTCCTTCTATCATCCCTAGTCATTGTCCAGCTCTCTGAAGCATAGTAAGTAATTGCAAAGACCATTGCCTGTGTCAGGCACACCTTAGTCTCCAGACTGGCAGCATTGCTCTTCA